CCCCCCCTCTCTCTCTCTCTCTCCGGACAACCAGCCCATATGTCTCTATACAGTTTCTTTCTGCAACAGCCCAATTGGCTTCCCCTGTGGCCAACCCCAACTCAAGAAGGCCGACATTAGGCCCATTACTCTCAAAATATGAACTGGCCCAATAAGCGCATCATTTGGGTCTTCCCTAAGCCCTGAATCTGACGGGGGCGTTAGGGTTTTGCAGTCACTCACAGCTGGGGAGGTTCGCGGGCTTTAGCGACTCAATAGTTTGGTGCTCATCGACCTTTCTCCCTAACTTTCCATGGATTCCTCGTCTCTCAACTCCCCGGAGCTGATGAATTTTATCAATGTGAGTTCACTTTTAGGCTCTGATTCGTGCAGGATCGAATATTAAAAAAAAAAAAAAACAAAAAAAAAAAACACTTCAAATCTTAAATGTTGACTGATTCTTGTCTTCCAACTAAAAAATGAAAAATCTGAGTTTTAATTCCTTTACCATCAATGTGCTATTGGGTTGCCTTTTATCTTCTTTGTATGCATCTCCAGTTTAGTTCCTAGAATATCTTAAGAAATGCTTTGATGTTGTCACAACTCATTACTCACTAGAGATAACTTCTTGAAAGTAGCCTATTAGTTTGTCTCTAATTCTGAAATGAGTTAAATGTGCTTTCCATCTCTTCGCAACCTGAGTATAGGAGAAACATATTGTTATTACATTTTATATATATAAAAAAAAAAGATAATTGAAGAGTTGGTTGTAGAGCCTACTTCTTACTTCGCTTCAAGATGAGCCTTTTAGGCGGAAATTTGGTCTGAAGAGTTCAGAGGTGCCACTCGATGCTGCTTATACTGCTGTTTGGAATATTAATCATACAAATGTGGAAACAATACATGGTTTGAGATTTTTGTGGTTCTTTTTCTTGAAAAAAGAAAGAAAATTTTTCTGGATAAGCGTATTCAACGAGTTCTTCGGCCATGCAAGTAACTATAGGATATGGAATTCCATGGGTTCATATCACTTAAAACATCTGAGTTTGTCTGAACTTGAGGTCACTGTTATGTGTCTTTTTCAAGTATGATTTAAGTTAATGTAAGCTGTTCAATCTCATTGGTCAACCAACCATAGGTGGTAATCAGTTGACTGCTAAATCTGTGTTGCCTACTCTTCAATTGGTCAACCTCCAGAGTCTTTCATTCCTGGATATGACCCTCCCCCCTCCCCCTCAAAAGTTTAGATAGTGGGATGCTTTGTTGTTTGACTTCTATTTTGTTGCCGTCACAAAATTCGATGCTAATAATAGATTATTTGGTAAATTTGTTGAACAGGAAGAGAAGCAAAGAGCAATGGTTGCTGAGATGGTGGCTAAGCTTACCAGTGTGTGTTGGGACAAGTGTATCACTGGTACGCCAGGGAGTAAGTTCAGTTCTAGTGAATCCAACTGTCTATCAAACTGTGCCCAACGCTATATGGATATGAGCATCATCATTATGAAGCGATTCCAAAACAGTTAATGGATCTCAACTCGGGAGGCTTGAGTGTATTTTCTTGGTGGATCTATTGTTCAAATCCAACCGAAAGGAAAAGGTTCCGAACTTCTTGAAATATTGTTCATTTTTTGAAGTTGAAATATTTTACATTTGATGAGAGAGAAGTACTGGATTGAAATGGGTAGCCTGTTGTAGTTTTATTATTAATTTTCAATTATAAAGAATGAAAGTTCATATAATTTTGGTTGCCTTAAAAGACATCCTTCATTGGCCTTTCCACTTTGGTTCCAATCTACCTCAAATCCCCACTATATCAACTTCCAATTGCTATGATAATGACAGACTGGAATTTGATTTGTAGAAGCAGACCAACCCACGACGAGGTTTTAATAATGAAAACCAAAAAGGGAAGGGGTTTAGATGAATATAAAGTTAATAAAGAGAGATTAGCATTTAGATGTGCAGAGGTGAAAGGAATTGCGTATGGACATCCTCGCAACACCATATCTGTGCTATTTGGAGTCTGTTCTGCATAACATTCTAAATGTTGGGCTGTTGTCTAAACACACACGGAAACTGAATATTACCCTTTTTTGTGTTCATAAACCAACATTTAATTATTACTACAAAGTATAAGTAGGAATTCAAATATACTATCTCTTATGCTTCATTTCTATTGGGTAAACAAACAATGTTAGTTAGTGGAGGAGTCTGATCAGGTTTTAGATATGTAATAATACCAATACCCAATAAATGGAGAACCAACGAATGATAGCAGAAAATAAGATGAATAGCTACCTGCCTTTGGACTTCTCCGAAAAAGAAAGTTGCAAACGAAATCACCTGGTGATGAACATGTTTATATTATACTATAAGAGCATCGAGTGAGAGTAGTGGGGATTATTATAATCCTGCAACAGCTAATGAAGGAAGCCAGTCTTTGTAAATTCCAATTCCAATCCCAAAGCGAAACAAAACAAATACTAAATCTTATCTTTTCAGGTGTAATCGTTCCGAACTACACACCTGTCGTATGTCCAACGAATTAGGCCCCTCTTACCTGCTAACCAACACTAATCAAACTCTTTCCTCACCTTATAATATCTCTTCTTCCTTTAATGAAAGTTCCCACATAAAACAAATACTTTGGCTCATATTATTATTATTATTCTGTTTGTGCGGGTTCGATTCATATAGTTTTCATCAGTTAACATGGTGACACCTTGCAACGCAGGAGACTTTGAAGTCCTTGAATCACGCGTGAGCTCCAAAAGCTACAAAGATAGAACGCAATAGCTGCAACAAAAATAAAAACAATTAACATCCTTCTCTTTTCCATTGAATAATAAATAAGAACTTCTGCACTGCATGCAGGCCCCAATTGTACGGCTCATCGAACGTTTGTTGCGATCAAGTCTATGCATAAAAAGTTGGGGGTGGGGAGGAGAAGTGGGGTTTGGCTAGGATGGCCACTTCAAGTGTAAGGATATCATAAAAATGTAATTTTCAAGATTAAAGGTGCAGTTTTGCCACTTTTGATGTATCAAGATCATAAAGTAATCCTGGTTTCGATATTGTTCATGCAAAACCACATAACACATGACATGTAGGAGTAACATTTTTATAAGCTCGCAGCACTATAAATATGAGTCCTCCTCAATTTGATCTGCAGCAAGATTTGAGGTTGCATACAGAGATTACTTAAAACTCCTCTGCCTCTTCCTCTCTTATCTTGCTCCTTCAACATCCCGCTTGGGTTTTCCTTAATATATATAATGGCTCTTAGTTTTATGAACCACAACCCTTGGATTTTTGCGTTTGGTCTTCTAGGTACGAACCATGCGCATATATACATCCATATTCTTGTGTCTGTTTCGTTGGTTTGTGCTGATGATTTATGTACTTGTTTTGTTTGGCTTGGAACTTCACAGGCAACATTTTCTCGTTCATCGTATTTCTGGCCCCAGTGTAAGTATATAGCCAGGAAGGCAGTATTTATGGGTGGGATTGATGTGACAGTGGGTGTATTGAATATTATTGGATGTGGTTGCAGGCCTACATTTGTAAGGGTGTGTAGAAAGAAATCAACGGAAGGATTTCAATCAATTCCGTACGTGGTGGCGTTGTTCAGCGCTCTGCTATTGATATACTATTCTACGCTGAATGCGGACGAGTTCTTTCTGATGACTATCAACTCTGTGGGCTGTTTCATTGAGACCATTTACATCGCTTTATACATTACCTATGCTCCCAAGAAGGCTCGGGTCAATATTTACTTATATTATGCTAATTCACTTAATATTCTTCATGCATGCATTCATGCATCTCAAACTAATCTCTGTTTCATTTCTCCACACTTGCAGACATTCACAGTCAGGTTTTTTCTGCTGTTGGACGTGGTTGGGTTTTGCTCGATTCTCGCAGTCACCCAATTCTTAGTGAAGCGGCCCTACCGAGCCCGAGTGATTGGCTTCATTTGTGGCGGTCTGTCCGTCAGCGTTTTTGCAGCTCCTCTCAGCATCATGGTGGGTGGACGACCCCAACTCATCTTGTTCTTTTATTGTTTAATTTGCTCAACTCATTGTTATTGTTGCATGGCTTTGTAGAGGAGGGTTATCCGCACAAAGAGCGTGGAGTTCATGCCATTTAACCTCTCCTTTTTCCTCACACTCAGCGCCGTTATGTGGCTCTGCTATGGCCTGCTCCTCAAGGATTTCTACGTTGCGGTAACATCAATAAATAACGACACATACATACATATATATATATATGTGTGTGTACAAAATAAGTTGATATTAACAACTAATATTGCTCCTGACAGCTTCCAAACACATTGGGATTCACATTCGGGATGGCTCAGATGATTCTGTACGCCATTTACAGGAAACCCAGGGGGGGCTCTGAGGTAAAGCTCCCGCAGCACAAGGCGGATATTGAAACTGTAACAAAGACTACTACTAGTTTAGAGAGTCCCGAGGAGCATGAAAAAGAGGGTGAGGGTCAAGAGGCTGCTCCTGCATCCAACGGTGAGCATGCACCGCCAGCACTAGCATGTTCCAATGACAAATATTGCATGGACAACATACAAGCCCCACCCATGATCAGATGCGAGGCTTGATTCGATGCATCATTGGCTGCGCGTCTTCCCGAATCTCTCCCTCCCCACCGCGCTGTGTACTATTATAATGTCTTGTCCTGTGTCGTTACAATTAATTAGTAGTAGCTTTAATTTACGTATTTGTAAACCTTGGGAGAGCTTCCATATCCATGTAAAATTTATGTATCTAACTTTGTTTCGATGCATCATTCTCTTTTAATTTACATATCCACTGTTTTTCTTTTTTCCATTATAATAAATAATAAGACTAAGATATGTTGGGTAATAATTGCTGATTCATATTGCATAATGCAAGGGAATAAATGAATTCAATACAAGATCTGATCTGGCGTTGTCCTTGTCCGTTGACTTATTGTATGTTGTCCTTGTCCGTTGACTTATTGTAGGTGCAAAAATATGGAAAGGAAGGCTAAATAATAGTCGGAGACAATAATGATTAGATTAAGGTTGACGCAATTGTTGGCCTACATAATAATAAAGTAAGGAGTAAATATTTTGAATGGCTGGTGGGTAAGGAAGAATAAGGTCGAAAATAAAATAAAATAAAATGAGTAAAATAGAATGTGCGGAAAGAATTAAAGAAAGGGCAAATGATTTATTTGTTTTTATTTTGAATGAGACAATAAGAGTGGGAGTAGTTTAGTTGTGAAGGAATGGGAAATTAGAATTCCCCCCGGGATGTTCCAAACTCCGTAAGGAAGCAATTTGGCAGTGGTGTTGTTTATGGAATTGGGCCAACTCTGTGGGGTTGCCGCAATTGGGCACCTAATCTCTGGTAATCCTCGCTTTCAGAGAAAGAAGAGAAAGAAGAGAAAGAAAGAATATTGTAGAAGAAGATAGATGATGATGAGGAAGAGGGGAGGGAGATGGGTTTTGCGCCGTGTGATTGGGTTAGAAATGTGATGGGGATGAGCACCATGAAGTGCGATTACACATCAAAAGAGCGTGGGAGGGAGAGGAGAGAATCTCCGGGTAAATCTGGGAATGAAAGGAAGATGCGAGGGGGTGGGGGGGGGCAAGTTGAGCAAGTGGGAATTTTAATTCATTTAATTTATTTATTTTAATTTAATTTATTTGTTGAATGAGGAGTTGCAGTGAAGAAAGAAGGGAGGGAGGCAGGGGCAGGGGCAGCATTAGCAGAGCGTGGTGGTGGCTACTTAGTTTTTGTCGCCAAATTAATAGTTGTTGTTACTTAGGCTTTGCTTCTCCCCGACTCTCATCTCCCCGCTAGTGCTCCCCATACACATTATTACCAATATTTCCCCATTCATTTCTATGTTATCTTCAAATTTATCTTTCCACAATGCAAATAAACCACACAACGCCTCATCACTTGCCCCCTGCCTGCTCAAACCACCAGATGCTTAGCTTGCTCAATCCACACTTTCTCATATTTATGCATCTACAACTCCACTTGCGATACTCTAATTTAGAAACAAAAAAAAAAGATGTAAGATGTGGATCAGATGAGTGGCTCATGGGGTAGCTACCTAGCTGTAATCAATTATTTTTGAGTTTGAATCGTATTGTATTGTAATATCCAGGGTGGTGGTGGTGGAGGGTGGGGGAAGGGGATTTAGTTTCCAACGGAGGCCTTAAATCCATTTGGTGGGTGACACATCAGAAAGCTACCAAAAACATGGTTGTGGATGTACCCTTCATGGTACTTACAACAAACTAAAGATGTAGTGTTGTGTGTATTAGGGCTGAAGATGAGCACCCCAAATGTGCACATTAATAGAATACACACCTATTAATACTCCAATCCCTGCCTCTTAATACCATCTCCGGTATTCAACCAACCAACTGGAAATTAAAGCTTAATTTAACCTCATGTGTACCCACACTCTCACCCACTTGACTCTCTCTCTCTCCCCTTCTCTTCACTATAAAACCTATCTCTTCCCCACCATTCTTTTCACACCCCACCCTTCCTTCTCTCCTTTCTCTCAATAGCACTCCCCCATTCAGCTCCAATGGCCATCCCACCCCAAACTCTGGCTTTTGTCTTTGGCCTTTTAGGTACCATCCTCCTCCTCCCCTCCTCCTCATTTACTTAACTTTCATGCATGCTTTGCATGTAACGTGTCCTAATTTCATGTTCTTGTTTTGCAGGCAACATTATCTCCTTCATGGTCTTCCTTGCTCCACTGTAAGCGCCAACTCTCTCTCTCTCTCTCTCTCTCTCTCACCCTCACCTGCCTTCTTGTGTGTATTAGCCATGATGCTTAATAATGCTATGTTTTGGGCGCAGGCCAACCTTTTACAAGATATACAAGAAGAAGTCCGCGGAAGGATACCAATCCTTACCCTATGTGGTTGCACTATTCAGCGCCATGCTTTGGATTTACTACGCCCTTCTCAAAACCAACGCAACCTTCCTCATTACCATCAACTCCTTTGGCTGTGTAATTGAGACCCTTTACATCCTTCTCTTCATGTTCTACGCCCCCACAAAATTGAGGGTAACTAACTAATTCCTCTTCTTCTTCTTCTTATGATGATAATGATGATGATGATTATTATTACTATTCTTGCAATTGGAAATAAATAAATAATTAAAGAATGAATGAATGAAATATATCCCGCAGTTCCAAACCGCGAAGTTGGTAGTGGTGTTGAATGTGTTGGGGTTCGGGGTGATGCTGGCTTTGACTCTGCTGTTAGCCAAAGGAGAGAAGCGTCTGAAGGTTCTTGGGTGGATATGCTTGGTGTTCAACCTTAGTGTCTTCGCTGCACCCCTTTTCATCATGGTAACATAATTAATAATAATTTCCTATTAATTGATTATCATCATCTTATTTACAATTGGATGCATGCAGGGCAAAGTGATCAAGACCAAGAGCGTGGAGTACATGCCTTTTGCTCTCTCCTTCTTTCTCACTCTCAACGCAGTCATGTGGTTCTTTTACGGCCTTCTTCTCAAGGACTATTACATTGCGGTAAGACCAATTATTAATATTCTATCAACAACAACAACAATAATAATCATATCCTAATTGGACGGTGCATGCAGCTTCCCAACGTGGTGGGGTTCGTGTTTGGCATAATCCAGATGATCCTGTACGTGATATTCAAGAACGCAAAGAAAGGCATCCCGGTGAAAGAAGAGCAGCAGCCAAAGGCGCAGCAGCTTCACCAACTGTCGGAGCAAATAATGGATGCGGTGAAGCTTGGGACGATGGTGTGCACAGAGCTAAGCCCGGTGGGGGTTCTTCAGCCAAGCATGGAGGTGGTGGACGTTGTGGTGGAAGCCGTGATGGACAACATTCAGAAGAAGAAGGAAGAAATAACAAGCTGATCAATTGTGTTGTTGTTGGTGTTGTTGTTGTTAATCATGATTAGTTAGTTAGTCAGTCAGTTAAAATCAGGGTGGTGGTTCGTGTATCAACTAATTAGTAGCATAGTAAGTAGTATTGGTTTTGTTGTCCCGTCCGCCGCAAGCCGGCCACAAGAGAGAGCTTAAACCCTCTCTCTTTCATCTATCTCTCTCGCTCTGTAATCATCTCTAACTTTTCATGTTTCCAAATCAAACCTCTTATTCTTCCCTTTCTTATAATTTCCTTTCATTCTCTATCATAAGATCCATTAATTATTAATATCGGACAACAAATATTAATCTTTCCATATTTATTTCTTTTACGTGGAAACCAACACAAATATTCAAACTTTGGTTCCTTTGATCGAATTGATAACACGTTGGTTAGTTGAGTTTATACGTCACGATCGATTTGTCAACAATGATACAAGGGCCCAATGTGTGCAATCTGTAGCTTTCTAGATATAGATATGAGTGAGCGTGATTGATAATCTATTTTGTCCCAATAAAATCATTCGGTTATCTAAAACCAGCCCAACATTGAATTCCATACAACTTACACGCATATTCCTAAACAAATAAATACTCGTCTTTCTGTATTCAACAACAATAACCAACAAAAATCTAAATACACTACAAACCCGTTATAAATACTGTGTGTTAATAATGAGAATATTGGTTAATTATTACCCTATGATACAGTAATTTCTATAATACAAGATAGATATTAACTTATAATTAAGGGTCATATGTGCTCAGCTTTATTTAAAGATTAAAAGAAAACATATTTTCTAGTTTTATAATTTAGATATGGCCTAAAAAGCTTTTTAACGTGGTTCAAGACTATAAGAAGATGAATAAATAATTTGTAATAATAATTTTTGGTATATATATACGAGTATAAATTGGGTAATTATTTAGATTTAAATGATATTATAATCCCGGTGGGTTTTTGTTTGGTTTAAGAAGTGACATTTAAGATCCTTGAATTTGTCAATTACTTTTTTCATCATCACAATTGAATGCAATACAGTTGGGATAAGTTTATTTATAGTTTATTATATATTGAAATTGGAAGGATGTGGTAATTAAACAATATTAAAGTGAATTTATGGATGAAGAAGTCAAAAACATGTAACAAAAATGGTTGGTTGATGTTATGAAAGGTGAAGAGCTGTGATTAGGCCGTAGAGAACTAAAGTTTGGACCTCAAAGTGGTGGAGATTAAAGAAAAGGTAACCCAGAGTGGAAGCACTACAGAGATAGACGGCAGGGAGGTGAAAAATTTAAGGTTAAGCAGCAGCTTTAGTTTAGAGAGCATTTGTTGGGTGCAGGTGGAAGTGCAAGGGGGTTCGTTTTAGTTTAGAGAGCATTTGTTGGGTGCAGGTGGAAGTGCAAGGGGGTTCGTTTTAGTTTAGAGAGCATTTGTTGGGTGCAGGTGGAACTGCAAGGGGGTTCGTTAACACTGCTGCGTTTTGGAATCTAACAGCGTTATAGTGGGGAATCTAATAAGCCCTCCACTCTCCAACACACTATAAACTTCACACCGCTGCGCTAGCTGCTGCTATTACCTACCTACCTGCTTCGAATCTTTGACCCTCCGCCCTCACCAAAAGCTACTCTAAGCCCAAATTCTCAATATACCCATTGCTTTTTCGCTTTATAATCTAAGAATAAACTCACTTTCATCGCAATGCGAACACCCATTTCCTGTCTGTTGTTCATCATAAAGTTGGCCGCAAAAGGTCTAAGATTCGGCTTTTCAATCCCGCGGCCCACTCCAGTTTCAAAATCTTTATTTATTAGGTGTACGGATGTAGTTTGATGATGATGATGATAGGTTTGGAATCAGAATCTTGAAAAGATGCGAATAAACATGCCCAATGGAGTGTTGAGCATACGATACAAAAGTAGTGGCCTGACTCGGATTGCGGAACACTAGGATTTGGAAACAAGATGCTGCTGGGGTTGCCTTTGCCTTTGCCTTGTCGCATGTTCTTTAAAAATCCACTGCCACCGAGTGTGCCGAACGTTCCAAATGATGCTTAAACTTGGTGTCCCTGTGCCCACCTCCGCTGCACGCCGTCCATCCAGTTTCAGGTAATCAGACCACTTGCCTCACCGCCCAATGCCGCCACATCCTCCCTCCCTTTCACTTTATTATTATTAATTTGATTAAAAAATTTGATGTTTGTTGAAAGAAACAGAGAAAGAAAAGATTTAAGTACATGTTCCGTAGCCTCTCTCTCCATATTGCAGCCATTTGTCAAGGACATCTTGTCCTCTTCTGGTCTTAATTTTTATGAATTTAGAAAACAAAAAGAAAACAATTTCCAGATGGATGGTGGTGCCACGTAGGCAGTTAGGTCGTACTGAAAACGTACAGCTGTGTGTAGGCGGAATTTAAAAAATTGGAAAATAATATAGGAGAGGATGACGTCATCCATTTGAACAGTTGTAGAGCAATAGAAGAGGAGATGTCCCATAAAACATTCTGACACTCACTTATCCTCCAAATTAGGGCACATGCAATCCAACCATCACTGCATTCCCCCAGCAAAGACCTATAATATCCACACGCTTTTTATCTCAATTAATAAAATACATAAATTATGTTTTAATCCCTCGTCACCCACTTTTCCCCTAATTATTCTTCAAACACTCTCTTCTTTCCCTACCTTCTCCCTTTTACCTTACCAACAAATTTCCTCACCGATCTATTGTGTTTTCTCTCACCGTATTCTACTTGCACAATCATGACTTCTATTCACTTACATTTTATTTACACAATTTGGGTGAAATCACAGATTTAGTCATTTAAATTTGGGTCATCCCCAACTTCAAGTTTTGTGTCTAACAAGTGCTTAAACAATGCTATTTAAGTGAAGCCCATTCTGGATATGGGCATTCGTAGATCCAACCTGGTCCGGAGTACTGAACACAATGTAGCCACAAGCCCTCTTCTTCCCGGTCGTATCTGCACAAAACGAAGCACGTTTAATGCGTTAATCATGGACCCTATTACGTTTCGAGTGGAAACAAACCAGCAAAGCTTCCAATGGGATCAAAGTTTCTCACCCCTTTGGACCCAAATTTGGACAGTTTGTACACATGGGATCAATTCTAAAATCTTCATTTGATTTTTCATTGCGTGCATTAACACAATCTTCTTGAATATCACGTGCCCGAGAACAGGCTGATATTGCAGCAGCCCCATCTGTACCTGTTTTTTGCACGGAACGACCAGAAGTTTCTTTTGTAAGGTACAGTACATCGTTGGCTATAGGATACCCTGTATACTGCAAATGCACACGGATCTGCATTGCAGGTATACCACAAGACACTGATATTAACATCAAAAGGAAGTGGGAGTATACATGGATCACTTAAACATACGAAATGTCATTGAGGGAGGGGGTCTCATGCAAAATGTTTTCAACAAGTCAAGATTTAAATTTTACTTGATGAGTTCGGCCAGTGATTGGTTCACATAAAACAATGCTATGGACTCCATCGGAACATATGCGGGTAAACTTTGTTTGAGCAGCCTTCCCCTTTGTTGGAGTGTCCTGCAAGAATCAACTATCTGTAGTATCGATATCAAGTGACATACTAAATTCAGACCAAGAAGCTTCCGGTCAAGAGGACTCCAAACTACCAGACAACGGAGCAACATATCTCCCACAAACTTTATCCATGTTAATACTATGGTTATGGAATTGCAAACAGTCGTCCTTAGTGACAGAGAGAGACAGAGAGAGTAAATTGATGGTTAATGGGCTTTTGCAGACTCATTTTATGAAAACATAACCATTCCCTACAAAGTAAATTCCCATCTTTATTCTAAGGCTAAATTACAAGATCGGTCCATAGTTGGTTCAAATAGGCCCAACATTTAGAGACTGTTAAATAGGTCCATAAAGTAAGTATCTAAACTTCAAAAAGTATCCAATAAGTTCATAAATTTTCAATTTTTGTGTCTAACAAGTTATTAACCTATTCTACATTTTTAGAAATTTACAAATCTATTGGACAAAAAGTTGAAAGTTTAATGTCCTATTACACACAAAATTCTATTTATACTAACAAATTTGTTAATTTTAGAAAAAAGTTGAATATGTTACACACCTATCAAACACAAGATTGAAAATTTAGGGATCAAGTTCAAGAACCTATAATATACTTTGAAAGGTTTTTAGAACCTATTAGACACAAACATGTAAGTTCAATTGCTTAACTTGCAAGTACAATTTTTTGACTCTTCTACTATATTCGGTTGCCAGAAAAGTAAATTCCTTCCTTAACATCCACTTCCTCTTATTAAGTAACTGAAGTTCACATGGACAAAGGAAGAAAATAAAGCCTCACCTCCGCTGTGCTTTTTCCCTCTCGAGCATTGTAATTTATGTTAACATCAACCACTTGCTGAAATTAAGTCCAGGTAAAATGAAGCAGATAATCAGAGAGATGCCTAATAGAAATAGAAGAGCAACATTATGAGGTGACTTCACTAAACATTAAAAAAAAAAAAACCACAGTGCTCCAGATTGGTATTATCCTTGAAAGTGAAGAAGATTTTGAAACAAATTTATTTCCCTTTAGTGTAAAAAACAACCGAGTAATTCATCTCATTCTGTACTAACAGCCCCACATGTCTATAAGAAGCACAAGCCACAAGCAGACATTCATGCACACGCCTATAGCTAGCAAGTCAGGACAAGACAACCACGGGTCCCTTCTGGAAGCTAGACTCAACATTGTCAATATTCTAAATTACCCTTTATCAAAAGGATCCTTTTAGATTGTTACAAGAAGAATCTAAAAGTAACCCTTACGTTTAGTTGCATTCGAAGGAACAATTTGATAAATAATTTAAGACAGAAGAAGAAATACCTCTTCTTCTGGAAATACACCCACTACCTTCGCAAGATACTGTTTCTTCACCAGCCCAGACTCAATCTGCAGTATGCATACATTCCTATTATATAAGTTTCTTCAGTTCCTAGTTTGTGCATGGGCAGAAGAGGAGGAGAAAGCAATGACAAATTGAATTTAACTATTCACAGTGAAACAGCGCAAGATTATTACTGGGAAAAACTTGTTGTGCAAATGGACATTGTTATCTTAAAATTTCTTATTCAAGTAGATTTATAATTGTAACTATGTTTATTTCAAATTCTCTCTAATAAATTTTTACATTCAATCATCATATCAACTACAATTTAGTTTCCCTCGAAAGTCCAAGAGCCGAGGTGGGAATTTGAACTTGTGATTTTTTTGTTGAAGTTATAATTCCTTAACTAATTCATCTGTGCTAAAGTTAATTTTCCTTCTAATTTTTGTCCAATTGCAACGATCTGAAGCAGTTATAAACAATGTGCAACAACATAGTAGTGAGAGTGCATGCTCGAATAAAATGTTTGAGAAGAATGCACCTCATAAAAATTCCATGAAAATGTATCTCCCAGTCATTTACGATATAACTAAATGAAAAATCTTAAGTACAAGGCATACCTGTTGTCTGAAAAGGTCAGCTTTGGATGCGTTTCTAGAAAGGATAAGAAGTCCAGAGACAAGACGGTCTAGTCGATGTATAGCTAACATGGTCATGTCAAGGGAAGAAGAGGATTGCTCTTCAAGCCAGTGGATAGAGTATGTTAAAAGTGTTTTCTCCATTATCAATATAACAGAACTAAATAAGAGAACAATAGCTTCTAGAAGGACATGGAAGTTGGATACGAAATAGAGGTGCCAAACCGTGCTCTGCCTGAAGTATACCGAAAACTGTGTTCTTCCTATATTGACCACATGGATGAACCTATATTACATTAGAGCTTGCTAGTTAGAGGAACCTAAAGTAAGGGTAAAATCAACTTAGAAGAAAAACAAACAACAGACGAGGAATCCGTTCACTAAGACTCAAATGTTTACAGAAATGTATTGCACAACTTGCATAACTAACGGCATTATACGAAGTTCATACTATCAATCTGACTCACCGGAACAGATGCAGGCTTGCAAACTGTCAGCACTTCTGCTTCTTCTTTGAGAATTTTCACGTCCCAAGCCATTACCGGGGGTTCATGCCTACAGCCCGTAGAAAATCTATTACAAGTTTGATAACTTTATAGTGCAGCTTTGACATAAAAATGAATTCGACACAAATGTATATTCAAAAGAATCACATCCAGGCTACTCACGGAGTTGGACGTAATTGTACCAATCGGGAACCATAAGCCTTAAAGATCCTACCAGAAATTACAACGTGTAGAACACATACCTATGCAGGAAATGACTTATCTTTTGAGATGATTTAACTATATATGATACAGGCACCATCTCCCCATCCACTTGTATGCGACCACATTTGACTGCATCAACCTAAGAAATAAAGTTCCAAGCAGTAAGGCATGAAAACAAGGAAAAATGTATGAGGGCATGAGAATCATATTCAGTGCATATTAGAACTCCATATTTTGATATCAACAAAACAATAACTGACAAAAGCTGAAACTAAATGACCACATCATAGAGGAAAAACGGAAAGGAAAAAGCATACAAAATACTCGTAAGGTCGGCCTTTGAACTCTTCAGCAAACAAGTCGACGATGGTTTTGCCGGCCCATCGATTCTTAACCTGCAATTTGCAGCTATGAACTTCCAATCAAGAGTTTGAAATTAGATTCAATAGTCGAACATTTCTGAAAGTTTAAGGTCTTACATGAGCAATGAACTCGAAGTAGTAAGGTCTAACGTGCCGCCTCCCTAATCAAAGAACTCTGATTAAAACAAAAATGGAATGTAAAACGAAAAGAAAGGCCAACAGAAGCGGGCATCTAGTCTGTACCATTGTGAAATATATAATCGCTTCGTTGTGGGGGGTTGGCAGGGGTTTGCCATACGATCTCTCCCACTCCCATGCTTTCTTCTTCCTTCTCCTCTTGCTCGTCATTATTCAGCTGTGCTACGGAAGCCATACTCACAGTCAGACCGAAGAGAGGAGAGGATAGACGATGAAACGACAGCGTATGGATGCTGAACCCTGCGACGTCATGCAAGTTTCGAACCGAACCGAACCGAACCGAGCCGAGATAAGCACAGGTAACTGACGTGACATAAAGTCAAGACCGCGTCGATTTTAGAATCGGTCTGGCTTGGAGTTGTGCCTTCGCGGGCGCTTAGTTTGGCTTCTTCCTCACTTCAACAACTTCAATAATATTTATAAATTCATAATTTGAGAAAGAAATATACACATTGGATTAATATTCTTCTTCCCAAAAAGCCTGCAGCCGGGAGGAAAAACTGCCTTGGCCTGATCGACGCCTTCACAAGGTCTCTTCTCTAATCTTAATTCTCGTTTTTTCTTCACTTTATCCACAATTACTCTCCTTTTCGGATCTTTCATGGTGTTCGCACTTGTAATTGCTCCAGCTTCGTTGCTGTTGGAATTGCTTTCAATTCCTTCTAGGGCATCCGATCAATTCAAGGTCGGTATCCAACACTTGTACCTGATTTGAGGATACTCAACTCAGATGCCGGAGGACGATTTTATTGACATTAAGTTCAGGCTCTACGATGGTTCTGATATTGGACCCTTTCGATACTCGTCCGCATCGACAATAGATGTGCTCAAGCAGAGAATAGTGTCCGATTGGCCCAAAGGTTCGAAATTTACTCTTCAGCTTCACCCTAATCTTTTCAGCTATGAGTACACAATTTGCAATCGGCATTTTTTTTTTTATATGCTTTTCTCCTGCAAACGCGTATGTGAATTTCGGGCGTTAATATTGCATGTTCTATAGTTGGTCAATCCTTCTTTTTTAATACTATAGTCTACTAGCTTAAGAGAGCTATTTTTAGGACTAAGTATTTTATTCTTGGCAATCCTTCTTTTTTATACATCGTTTTGTTATTCTTGATTTACGCGGTCATTCGGAGGACGCACATTGAATCTTTTGTTGTGTGCCGTTTTACTGTTAGGAACTCATGCTTGTATTTTTGGTTTCTTAAGAATTGTCTTCGTTCACTGGACGAATTATCATTTTTCTTTTCTCTGCTTTTGTTTTCATATTGATTTTATTTTTTCCCTTTTGGGATGATTTTTCTTTTTTTTTTTTTCGTTTTTAGGCAAAACAATCATTCCGAAGGCAGCCAGTGAAGTAAAACTGATAAGTTCTGGAAAAATTTTGGAAAATAACAAGACTGTTGGTCAGTGTAAATTACCTTTTGGTGAGTCCACGGGAGGAGTCACCATAATGCATGTTGTTGTACAGCCATCCCTAGCGAAAGCTAAGACAGGTGATTTCCTTTGAGGTTTTATCTATAAATATAGTTTTCTTGGTCATTGATTGTTCCCTTTACAATTCAACTTCAATATTGTTTTCTTTCCCCCTTTCTCCAATGCCCCATAGTTTTTCACGTACTCTGGATTTATACGACAAGTCTATATAATTGTGGTCTTAGGAGTTGGAATCGCATTCTCAACTGATACAGTCATCAAATTGTTGGTTTTTTGGCTTGAACTTAGGAGAATACTCATCTGATTCTAATTCTTAACAACCATTTTGTTACACTTACTGGAGTTAGTGGGATATAACAATTTCAAAATCCTTATTCTGCTTTCAATGAGTTTTGACTAGTACTTTTGAGTTGTAACTTGAACTGTGCTAACGAGAAAGCCGAATCTTAGCATGCAGTCCCCTGAGTTATATCATGAGCCTCTTAGAGAACCTTCTTTCTTCATTTATTTCTTCTCCAGATTTTATCCTGTTTTTTTTTTTTTTTTTTTTTTTTTTTTTTTTTTTTTTTTTTTTTTTTTTTTTTTTTTTTTTTT